CCTAGGCCTTAGACAAGGTTGTCTTCAAACCTCATCATCCCACATCATCCCCCCAAATATATTCCACGAACATTATTAAAATGGGTTGCAAGCCAAAGGAATTGCTTCAAGAAATACTCAAACTTGGACTCTCTGGGGTGTTTCCTAATATCACAATTGCATTGAGTATTTTTGTGAGTTTGTCTCCATCAGTGGCTTCAGGTGAATGCACCTTCAACGTGTTGAAGCAGGTAAAGAACGATCATCGTTCAACTGTGGGACAAAAGCGTTTGAATGGGCTCGCCATGCTTAATAGCAACTGTGACATTGCACGAAAGCTACAATAACTAGTGCATTTGTACAGAAAAAGGCTAGAAAAGCATTTGCTAAATAAAAAAATATTTAAATTATGTCTCCCTCTTTTTTTGGCGCCTTATTTTGTTTTCATGTGTCGTCATTTTTTATTTTTATTATGGCTAGGGGCCTCAAAAGCTGGAAGTGGCCCGGGCCACTCTGGACCTCTGGGAGACCCTGGGCAGGAGCCAGCTGGACTGGAGCTGAGCGGACAGGCAGGGCAGGGAGCAGAGCTCTCCAGGCCGGCCCAGGAGACGCCCTGACTCGCCAGGGCAGCGAGAAGCCGGGAGGCAGGATGTGGCGCAGGAAAAACGGCAGCCCAGGAAACGAGAGTGGCTGAGGCCCTCGCTGCTCAGCCCAGGGTGGGCCGGGGCTAGACAAGGCTGACTCTGCCATGAGAACCAGGCATATTCTCCACTGGGGTGAATCCAGCAGCGAGGACCCGGCAGCTCGGGGTCAGGTTCAAGGCTAGATGCCCCCTAGGCTTGAACTGGAGCTGCTGGGGCCAGTGGCTGGGACTTCCCTGCGATGGAACCTGGTTCCGAGCACCCTCCTGGCAGTGTAGACGCACTCCCAGGGCCAGGAAAACGGTCCCCACTGGGCCCCTGGACGGCAGCGCCGCACATCTGTGTGAATTACTCACCGCTCAGAAGGCAAAAGGCAGGGACCAGCACCAAGACCATCTCCATCCAGGACAGAGCGCTCAGCCGGCCTGGGAGGGGAAAGGGGCTGGGAATGATTCATCTGCAGCATTTCTGGATGACAGCTTGTCTGCGCCGAGTGATGGCGTCCAGCTGCAGGATCAGCTGCGCGACCAGGTATTTTACACCTAAGGCCCTTCTTAAAGAATTTCCTAACCAGAAAGGGGTAAGGCTTGGGGTAAGGCCAATGGATCCATTTAATTTCTATTCTTGCATGCTTTGTGGGCCGTGTATGCAAGGTTCACCCCTTGGAGATGCAATGCAGCCACCTCTGGGGAGGGGCACATGGCTGTTTGGCAGCTCACAGCAAAGGGCAGGATGGGAGGTAGGTTTCTGTGTGGAGGTGACCCATGCGGGGAGAAGGGAACAAACTGTGTTGGGGTGCTGCAGGGACCCCAGGGGATAGAGCCAGGGACCCCTTGGGATAGAGCCATGTGGGAGAAGGGTATCAAAGGCATAAGGGGCAGGGTTGGCGTTCAGTGTCTCAGCTGGGTACAGCAAAGCACCAGAAGCGGAGATCAGCCCTGACTGCAATGGGAGAGCGCACCCTGTGGTGGGACATATTCCTGAGCTCCAGAAAGTGAAAGTAACCCCGTTACACTGCCCAGAGGGAGCCATGGCTGCAGAGAACCCCGTGGAAAGTCTCCAGGAGGAAGCTACATTAGGGTTACCATACGTCCGGATTTTCCCGGACATGTCCAGCTTTTTGGGCCTCAAATCCTCGTCCAGGAGGAAATCCCAAAAAGCCGGACATGTCCGGGAAAATAGGGAGGGAGGGGCCGGGGCTGCTGGGGCCGGGCCGGGGGCCAGGGCCAGTGGTGCTCGGCCGGGGGCCGGGGCCCGGGGCCGGGGCCGGGCTGGCGGTGCTCGGCCGGAGGCTGGGGCCCCAGGGCCCAAGCTGAGCCAGGCGGGAGACGCCGGGGCCAGAGCCTCTTGGCCTTGGCCGGCCGGTCACTCCCGTTTCGCTACCTTGGG